TTCTTTCTTTCTTTCTTTTTCTTTTTCTTTCTTTCTTTCCTTCCTTCCTTCCTTCCTTCCTTCCTTCCTTCCTTCCTTCCTTCCTTCCTTCCTTTTTTCCTTTCTTTCTTTCTTCTTCTTTCTCCTCTCCAGACCTTCTACTGTATTTGCCTAAATTACCCTCCTGAAACACAATCTGAAACTGACGCTGAACTCTGAACTATTAGCCTGACATTAAAAAAAAAATAAAACCTGTAAAGTTTATGCACAATTCATATTTTAACTCTCATCTTCCATCTTACCCTTCCTGTATAGACTGCTTTTCAGCCGCCTTGAACAATCTCTGGTCTGGGAATAGACTGTGTTCTGGGAGGGTTCGGGGTTGTATAGATGGTGTGCTATTTCTTCTGCCTGAATAGCCCGCTCTCCTCTTTTTTGTCTGACTGAAATCATCTTTCAATTGACATTTCTATCAGAATGTTTGTTCTCCCTAAGACTCGCTCTTAAGTAATACTATATGGTTTTCACATTGTGGTCTCACAATGTCTTTTAATGATTTGTTCACTTTCTTCTTCTGTCAGTCTACTGTGCGCTCCATAAATGCAGGACCCAAATCTGATTTATCTTTTCTTCCCAGTGCCTAGAAGAAAGTGGCCACTTAAAAGTCATGTCAAATGGAATCCAATGGTCCTGGGCACATCAAGAGAGACATGAACATTGAACAAAAGCACAGGAAAAAGAAGGTGATGGACTGAGGAAACTATATTTAGAACCAGGTAATTTGGAGAAGTGAAGAGGGATAAATCAAAATGGGGCCTAAACATGGAAGTATGCTACCATATGGTGGCATTCGCCTGTAATTGCAGCACTCAGGAGGCTGAGGCAGGAGGATCACCATGAGTCTGAGGCAAGCCTGGGCTACGTAGTTAAAGGCCAGCCTGAATTACAGTGTGAGACCCTGTCTCAAAAAAGGAAAAGAAAGTAAAAACAGAGGTCATATGGAGAAAAACATCCGCAGCCTAAATGCAAAGAGAATTATAGTACAGATGGTATGAGCAGATGTTCAAATTCAGGGATGTTGCTAAACATCAAAAAGAAAATATTCCCAGGACATTAGTGCTAAGTGTCCAAAAAAGACAAAAAACTGCTGATCTTTACACAAATATTCTCAGGATCAATTTAGGTCACCATCTCAAGTTATTCTTTAAAAAGTATTGCCCACATAAAGGCAGCATGTATACAATAATGCCCAGTGATTTAAATAGTATTCTTTATTTTAGAAACACTTCATAAACTATTACTTCCCTTTTGAAAACCTTGGTGTTCCAGGTATCTTTGTATCTCAGGAAGAATACTGAACATAGGTGTCTGAGAGTCTCATAATTTACCTGAGTGAAAAACCAGAGACAAAACCCCAGAAGTAGCAGGATTATGTTGCCAAAAAAGTCTCTGAAACTTTCAACAATGAAAAATTCAACATGCTTCATCACTCAAGCACCTTTAGAGGAGTTTTGATTTATAATGTTAATTACTTCTGCAAGACTATAGTAGGTAAATAGAAATAATTGAAGTCCTTTTTCATTTTGGTACAGGAGATCTGTTGGCAGGATACCAGACTTGTTACGGTGTTTCACCTTTCTGAATTCATGTGAAAAAGGGTTTCCCAGAGTCGTAATAAAAGAATATCTCCCCCAAGAGCGTAGTGATCTTTTTCAATTCTTCTGCAGTGACATGATAGACTGTTGCACCACAGTCTGATATTCCATGAATCTTGTTTTGATACGTTGCCAAGGGTTTCTGGTAATATTTGCTTAGTAGAGTACAACTGTATTTATTTGTTCTCTGCCTGTCCATGTTTTCTGTTTATGTGAGTTATTTTGCCGTTGATTTTTCTTCTTGGAAGTGAGAACTAGAATTTACATGTCAATATTATAGTCAGATTCTGATACCAAACTGTGAGAAAACTCTTCATGTCAATTATTCAGGGTGACTTCCAGGATATAGATGGTTATAATGAAATATATATAACTGTATGTGCTGATACTTATATATACCTCACCAGTTTAAGACAGAAATCTAGATTTAAAGCTGAGTTAGAAGTAACTAGAAGATACAAAATATAACCTGGAAAATAATATGAACATAATTTTTAGACTAAGTGAATATGTTGACATGTTACAAATATAAACTTAGTAATGGTATGATTTTTATTCTCCCTTGGTGAAGTTCAGTATCGTATAGTTCGGTATTTCTTTGGTTAGAATACACACACACACACACACACCCTTACCAGTTTCTCCCATTACACACAACTGTACCGGTTACTCCCAGTAGGAGTTCCTGGACCGTAAACCATCTCTGAGAATTGATTCCACACTCTCTCAAATATGACTTTTCATAAGTCAAGTCCTTTAAAAATATAACATTTCATATATTTCTCAGACTACATGTCAAATCAGTCTCATGCAAGCATAATACTTTTACTACTTTCTTAGAGCATGGTGTTGAAAGGGAAAAAATTTAATATATCTGTGCAACATCTATGTTAACGCAGTGGTGGAATATTGAAACTGCTTTTATCTGCCACATTTCTCAAATGAAAGCGGCAGCTGATTTTTATGGTAGTTAAACTGTGAACCTTGCCCACAATCTAGCCTCTACGGACGTGCTCCTTAGGTGTTATTAAGGAAGCAGTCTTTATTCCACATCTTAGACTTTCAAAGTTGCTGTGGATAGAAGCAGCCTATCATGTGGTCATGTCTACACCATAAAATCTTTCCAAAGTATGCAGCAAATTCTTGATAGAATTCACAGGCCTTACAAGAAGTTGTACCAAAATTTCCTGGTATTCCTCAGGCACATTGTAGGGGAGACTGTGGTCTAGTTTGGCCCCCAAAGTCATTGCAAGTTTTCATGTTAATTGTTTCTGAATTAGCTCCCATGAAACTGTTGTTTCTACCTCTTGCTGTCTACATTACAGTATCTGTACGTCACACACAACAAAAGAGTAAATTTAACTATCTCAACAAGGGATAGAAGAGTATTTTGAGACAAAGAGAGCAAATAGGATTTGGCTCAATCTTTCAGAAAAGTTTACTATCAGCAAAAACAAAACAAAAAGGCTACAGGTAAGCAGCTTCTCGTGTGAATTTGTTCAAGTGGTTTTGAAAGGAGTTACGCTTTATACACCCTTATCCTTTTGTGGAAATTGAATATGCCAAAATCCTGGCTGTGATGCTGATAAACTTCTTGTATCACGCACAGTCAACAATGTCTTTTCTTCTGCAATCCTGACTAACTGAGTGACACCCATCTTTGGCAAATCCCCCACAGAGTAACTTGAGCTCGCGTGCCCCTCGCCACGATGCCAGCAATGACATGATCCAGCGGGGATTTGAAACCCTATCTCAACAAATTTATTTCTGTTTTTCAACATACAATATTCAAAGCAAGACTTTGGCATGGTAACGCAATTCTTGACAGGGCTAAGGTAAATTCATCGTGCTAAACTGAAATGTTTCTGGCAGATGTCTACGCTGTAACAGTCAAATTGTGTGTACTATAATATATGACAACCAGCTCGCTACCTCTAGTTGTAAAACTTGCAAGTATAGTACTTCATTAATGAAAGCCTGGCGTGTAATTACCGCTGCTTTTTGTTTTTTCATTTAGAAAAACTTTTTGAAGGTAGTTTGCCATCTTATACTGTGACTTTTCTAATGGGTGTAGGAAAATAAACTTTCATTAGAGATATTCATGTATTTTGATGGTTTTCACACTGTACACTTGTTCAAATTTAGGAAAGTATAAAGCGAAATATTTTCTCTTATTAAAAATTAACTTTGGTACCCATGCAAATGGTCATTTGACCACACGAGTGGTCTCCTTTAAAAAGAAATGATTAAAATGTCAACATAAAACATTAAAATATTTTTAAATGGATAGTTTTCATGAGAACCTTTGCCTAAATATCTGTAACACCTACATACTTCAGGACAGTTCATCATACTTTAGTTCTAAGCGCCTAAAAAATATTTAGCTTAAAAGAAAATGTAAGCCCAATGAGTGACAACTTTTTACTTTGTAAGAGCCTCAGCAGGTAACAACTACTTTCCGACATGTGCACTCAAAACAAAAGCAGTCATGGAAAAAAACCTTTTAAGAATCTGGAAAATTTAAGTTTTGATATTCTGGTTTGGTTTGCCATTGCCTTGCCTATCATACTTTTAACAATTATTTCAAAATAAATATTTGCACAATCAGATAAAAGCCCTCAGATGCTATTTGATGAGCCAGCGTCCAGATGCAAATTGAATTTCTGCCGGGGAACTGCACTGTTATTCCCTTTCAAGTACCAGCTCCTACCACTAGGGGGAAAAAATATATGTGGCTGCTTTTTACCCCTTTTTCCTTATTATTCTTGATAATTTTCTTTACTGAACTCCTTGAAATTTCATTGGCATTTGCAAGTGAATTCAAGTATTTTCATTGTAGCGTAGTCATTTTTTAAAGAAACAGAACTCCATTCCATGAGCCTTTTGTCATTTACTGTGAAAATAAAATGGTTAACACAGGCTTGGAGCATTTATTAGGCCTAGGGAAACATAGTGCGTAAGGCAAATTAGATAACCTCTCAGGGCCAGTAAACACCCTCACAGACTCACACAAAAACTGCAACACGCTCCACTGAAAATTTGAATCAGGTGCCGCGAAAAGACAAAGCCTGCCAAGAACAGAACTTTGGAAATTATACTTACTGGAGGCCAACCAAAGAGATCTGAGTCATACAGGGCCTAGGACTTACTACTGGAACTGAACTTATTCACCCACCCATTGACACCATTCTTCATTTCACCAATCAAGTAGTAGCCAGTAAATGGTTAATGACATGTTGATTTAAAAAAGGTCAAGCCAGACAGTAGTGTAAGCAGGTAGAGATTTCAATTCTTTCCTCCCCTAGTGTGTTTCTTATTACTACATATCCCATTCTGCTTGTTAAATTACTCATATCCTGTACACACACGTGCATGCACACACGCACGTGTGTTCATTCAATCAGCACGTACTGAAACATCTCACAAATGCCAGATACCCTTGACATCCTTTGTCTACATCTCCCTGCTCCTTTTCTTCTGTTCTCTCGCATTTCCTTCTCTTCTCTCACATGCAGCACTAACTGGTGAGGGACCTGGCAGATTTTGCTCCCCTGCCCGGACACTGTATAGTGTACTACCCTTGCCACCGTATAAGCTCTAACAGGAATTAAAACGCAGGCTTCTAACACTGGGGAAACTGCTTACCAAGCACTTGCAATCCCATTATCGTGCTTATGGAAAACATGACATTGTTGACCTGAAATATGAATGTTCTTTAAGACTTGTGAACTAGACTTTAATTGAACATTCACATGGTTGGCTTTGCAAGCAAACAACTGGTCACATTTAACATGTCCATTCACCTGAGACAGTCTTTCAGTTGTCTCCCAGAAACGCATTTAATTTAGTTCCCTTGCCCACATCTGTGCCCACAGCCGGGGCGGCTCAGGCTGTCACCGTCCTCTGTTACACGCATTCTTACCACGGATCCTCCAAGTCTTCTTCATTCCTGGGAGCCCACCATCTGCACACACTGTGTCCCCAATAAACGTACATCAAAATATAAATTCAGTCTCATCACAGCCTTGATTAAAATCCTTCAAGTCTCCACACTGCCTCTAGGGTCGAGTTCAGAAATCTTCAGCAAGGCATTTAAGTGCGTCCTTGCTTAACCCACCTCTCCGCATCCATTCTGCAGTCCCTGCAGTCCATCCTCCCCAACATCACTGGGGCTTCAGACTTGTTTATGAACAGGGACGTTCTCCAAACCCACGGACCCGTCCTCACTCTCTAGGACAGTCTCTCCCTCTGATCTCTCTACGCTCATAGCCATTGTGCCTGTTTCTATTCTAACGTTCTAGTTCTCTCGAGTTCATATGCATTCTCCCTCTCCAAACTGGAACGTCTATTACCAGCATCCGCACCACAGGATCTAACCAGCAAAGATGACCAGTACATGCTTCTTGACTAACTGGCTGAGTATTTGCAGCATCAATTCAACTGACTCAAATTTATTAACAGGGTTGAGCTGATAAGGCTTGGTACTGGACCTTCTTAAATTTAGAAGAGTTTTTACCTGGAGGCATGTAGGTGCCACGCTAGCTTGCTTTGTTACTTGATACACACACACACACACACACACACACACACACACACACAGAACACACAGAATCATCCAATAAGACATTGCCGGGGTGGGTTAATTTCCAAGCTGGGATTCTGGTTGTGAGTTTACGTATGTGGATAACAATTTTGATTCATTTCAGGTTGTGAGGAGCAAAAGAAAACTTTGTCATTTCCAGGGACCTCACAGCTGTGTCTGTAAGCTCAAAGCCATAGGCTTTGGATTCCCTTTTCTGTGCCTCATCCACTCCCACCTGTGACAGGGTTGAATGACAGTACGGGGCTTGGGGATCGTGAACCCCAATGGTTGAGGAACACGTTGGAGTGCCCAGTGCAGCTCTTCCTGTGTTTGATTAACTGTCCCTGTTAAAGAGAAACAAACATCCAAGAGATGTTAACTCCCGGAAATACACAATAGCAAGATGGACGGGTACAGTGTGTGCCTTTGCACATCCTCTTCTGAACCA